GCTATTGGTAAGGTGGTAAGGGTAGATTATAATACAGAAGATGGGAATAGAGGTCGCTTTGCATGACTCACGGCTGTTGTTGATTTGGACAAACCACTGATCTCTGGAATAATGATAGATAGTCATCGTCAGTAAATCTAATATGAAGGATTACCAACTATTTACTATTCTTGTGGGAAGTATGGGCATGCACAGGAACACTGTGGTAAAGTAGCTAATGCTGATAATGGTGAAGCACATAAAGCACATGATATTGAGAAATCTGATGATCTGTATGGTCATTAGATGCAAGTGATGAATAGGAGAAGAAAGAATACTGGGGTCAAAAGGATTGCAAGCTCAGATACAGGGAGATAAATCACTGCTCATAATTCGGGTTCTCGCTTTGAGTCCTTTCAGGCAATTCAAGTCGATGATAATCCAGGAAGTAACCCAATACAAAAGCCATTTATGATGGGGACTAATAATAAGGGAGCGATGGCTTCCTCTAGTCATTTGAATGCTAAGGCAAGTGGTAGTACTGAATCTAGCAGCCAAAGGGGAGCAAGATGAGTTTCTAAAGAGTTTAATGAATCGAAAAGAAGTGATGTAGCAGGTCCACAACGAACGGATAACAATATTGTTGTGGCGTCAATAGGTAAGATTACAAGTGTTGCTTCATCTTTGAATAAAGACAAATATGTGGCTATACAGGTGACGGAAAATGATGAGAACTTAGCTCCACAGGAATGTAACTTAGACATTTTTCAAAGAACTGCTCGAGGGACCAGTCCAAAAGTGCAAAAATAAAGGGCTTGCTGTAGTTAAAGGTTTATCTCACAAGGGGTTGAAGACAAGGAAAAAAAATGAGAAGATGTCAAGTAAACCAGTGTTAGCTGAGTGAATTTCGGCTATGAATTATGAACTTAACCGAACAAGTATTACTTTGGAGAATCAATCAATAGAAATCCAAGGTTCCATGGATACTGACGGTGACATGGTTCAATGGAGTACGAACACTATGTTCGAACATTCGGAGAAAGCATATTTACAGGTCTAATCCTTCGTGTCATTTTCTATCCTCTTTTCTTATGGTTAAGAATATTTTTTATAATGTTCAGGGAGCTCGGGACCTTGATTTCAATAGATATTTTAAGTTATTGATTAAGTCTAAAAGATCGGATGTTGTTGCTAATTTGGAACCAAGAATTAGTGGTATGGCACCTGATCAGTTTATCAGGAATTCAAGTTTTGAGTTCTCCTACTGTATTGAAGCTTTGGGTTTTTCTGGTAGAATTTGGATACTTTGGAGGAATTCTCTTCATATTACTATCCTTGTTGTATCTTGACAATATATTCATGCAGCGTGTTCTATGATGGGTGGAGGTCAACATTGCTTTATTACATTTGTCTATGTTAGCCTTGCGATTGGGATGAGAAGCAGGTTGTGGAGGCACCTGAGAGAATTGGAACTAGGTTTGGGGTTTTCATGGATGCTTGGTGGGGATTTTAATGTCATTTGTAATTACGATGAATGTCAAGGTGGATCTCAACATCGCTATGAGTTTGCTTAAAATTCGGTGATTTTATGTTTGATACAGGGTTGATTGATATGGGGTTTTCGGGTCCAAAGTTCACTTGTAAACGTGGTACCCTCTCTCAACAGTTGGATAGGTGTATTTGCAATGCTGAGTGGTATGATTTTTTTGAACATTCAGAAGTTTTTTCATCTTCAAAAATTGGTTTCGGATCATCGACCCATTCTCCTTAAGTTTGGGGACCAACATGAGACTTCTCATAATCGACCTTTTCGATACATTGATGCTTGGAGTGAGCACCTGAATTTCCTAAATTTACTGATGAATTATTGGAGAAATGATAGAGACATTTACGATAATATACTTGATTTCCAAGCTAAAAGTAGCTAGTGGAATAAGTAGGTGTTTGAGCATATTGGGAGGCGTAAAAATATGTTGCTTGCTGGAATCCATGAAATTGAAAAAGTTATGGATAATTCAAATGAACCTTTTTTATTAGAACTAGAGATGAAACTTAAAAAGGAGTTGAATGTAGTTCTCGCTCAAGAAGAGAGCTTGTGGAACCAAAAAGCTCGAAATACTTGGATCACGAATGGGGATAGAAATACCTCATTTTTCCACGCGTCTACTATTAATCACCGGAAGCACGACACGATTAGTATATTGAAGTTGTATGATGGTTCTTGGTATAGTGATCATGTGCATCTCATAGATCATGCAGTTATTTTTTTCCACAATCTATTTATGAGCTAGCGAAGGGTGTCTAATATTGAAATTGGGAGGTGTAATTTCTTTCATTATGGGGATGATGCTCTTCCACCTTTGGTGCATGATATTTCATTGGAAGATGTCAGAAGTGTTATCTTTAGTATGGCTCCCTTGAAAGCCCCAGGCGCGGATGGAATCCATGCAAAGTTTTTTCAAAAAAATTGAAACACGATTGGTGAGTCGGTTTTCCAATTTATCAATCGCTTTTTTAATGATGGCTATCTAGCTGATTGGGTGAATCAGACTCTGTTGGTGTTGATCCCGAAGGTTAATAATCCTGTCTCCATTACTCATTTCAGGCCTATTAGTCTGTGTAATTTTCTTTATAAGACTATTACTAAACTGATTGTATGTCGTTTGAAGCCGTTTCTTCCTAAATGGGTGGCAAAAAATCAAGCTAGTTTTATTCCAGGCCGCCGGATTACATATAACATTATTCTTGCCCAGGAGGTTATTCATTCGATGACAAAGAAGATGGGTAGAATAAGATGGATGAAAATCAAGGTGGATTTGGAGAAGGCTTATGATCGCATAGAGTAGAACTATATCGAGAGCACTCTTCATGCAGTTGGCCTACCGGAGTTACTCATTTCTCGTATCATGTGCTGTGTTAGATCTATGTCGACACAAATTCTCTAGAATGGGGATATTATGGATTCCTTTAAGTCTACGAGAGGTATTCGACAGGGTGATCCGTTATCGCCTTATTTATTAGTCTTATGTATGGAGAGACTGTCTCAAGCTATAAAGACGAAAGTTGTTTCAGAAGACTGGAAAAAGATTCATATATCAAAGGAGGACCCTGGGTTATCCTATCTCTTCTTCGCAAATGATTTAGTGTTGTTTGCTAAAGCGTCGATGGATCAAGTTTTGATGATCAAGGTTATTTTGGATAGTTTTTGTGATGAATCGGGACATCGTATTAGCTCAGCGAAAACTCAAATTTTCTTTTCAAGTAATTTTCTAGTAAGCACTCGTTAGGTTGTTTCTCAGAGGTTCGGTTTTAAGGAGGTTATGGATCTTGGAAAGTATCTGGGAGTTCCATTACTCCATAATAAAGTCACTAAAGTCGCATACTCTTATCTCATTAATAGATTGACTCAACGCCTTTTAGGTTGGGCGGTGAAGTGTCTTACTTTTGCAGGCCGTCTAACACTTACTAAGGCTACTCTTCAGGCTATCCCAGTCTATATGATGCAATCAACTTGGCTACCGAAAGGTTTGTGTGTTGAAATGGAAAAGTTTATTTGAAGGTTTGTTTGAGGCTTGAATAATGGTGGTATTGGTATTCCCCTGGTTAAATGGAAATCTATGCAGCATCCAATAAATTTTGGAGGTGTGGGTATTCGGAACCTACATAATCAAAACAAGGCCTTCTTGATGAAGTGGGTTTTCAATTGATATCCAATCCAGAGAAACTTTGGGTCCGTACTGTTCGTGGGAAGTATAAATGTGACAGTCTTGTTCCTATCTCATTAAGTCATGCTAATGGTCCCCGTTTGTGGAAAGGACTAAGATACACTTGGTGTGAGTTGTATGATAACATAGCTTGGAACATACAGTATGGGAGATACATATTTTTGGTATGATCATTGGCTTGATACTGAAAATCTTCTTGTATTCTCATATAAAGGAGAAGGTACACCAAGGCCCACCTCGGTTTGTGATATGGTTCTCCCTTCGGGTTCGTGGAATTGGGGTAAGCTTTCTTCATTACTCCCTGAACATGTACTCTAAAAAATTGTTGTTGTCCAACAATCTCAAGATTACTTGGGTCCTGATACACCCGGGTGGAGATGAGAGCATAATATTAATTTCATGACAAGGTAAGCTTATAATAATATCACATGCCTTGACAATAGTAATGAAAATTCTCTATGGAATTTGATTTGGAAGCTAGGAGTTCCACAAAGAATACGTGTTTTTCTTTGGTTATTATTCCATGATCGACTCCTTACTAATGTAGAACAATCTCGTCGGCACCTTTCTAGCCTAGTGGATTGACAGATTTGTGGGGCTGTTATGGAGGATGTTGATCATATTCTGCGTCATTGCAGTATGGCTAGGAATATGTAGGTAAGGGTTATCAAAACTGAGAAGCTTAATGAGTTCTCGACTCTTCCTTACAAGATTTGGATTGAACGTAACTTAAGGTTACTGAAGTGTATGCGCAAATGAATTATAATTGGGATATTCGCTTCTCAGTTTACTGTTGGCACCTTTGGAAACGGAGATGTAGTATTCTCTTTGATTCTAGTTATGTTGAAAGAGATGAGTTCATTTATCGTTGCGATTGATTTGTTGATGAAGTTTTGACTGCTAATGTTAGCAACACAAATCCTAGTCCATCAATGTCTTGGACTAGACCTCCCACCGGTTGGATTAAGGGATGGGGCTGTTAGAACGTGTAACAATATGGCGGCTGCAGGAGGTATTCTGCGCAACTCTGAGGGAGAATGGATTTTTGGTTTCACGCGTAGTCTAGGACATTGTTCGATTCTTACCGTTAAGCTGTGGGATGTTCATAATCTCTTGTTGCATGCTTGGAGACTAGGAATCCGATATATTGAACTGGAAACCGATAATCTCGAGGTTATGAAGATCTGCAATTTATCATCGGATGCGCTTGTAGGGAGTGTTTTGGTCACTTAAATCCATGAACTGCTCGAACTTGAGTGGATCACAAAGGTATCACATATATGTCGCGAGCAGAATATGGTTACGGATAGATTGGCTGCTTTGAGCTTAGGAGCCTCCATTGCTGCTACTATTTTCTTAGAGCCACCATTGGAGTTATCTTCCACGTTGCTGCGAGATCTTCAAACATCCAGTTAACTCTTTTCTAAATGTTATATAAAAAAAATGATAAAAGTCGTACGAGATATGAATAAATTTATTTATTGAATTGATCAATCGATTAATGTTGGTTGAAATGGTGCAGCATGTCAATCTCCACCTTGATGCTCATGGTTTCAGTTGGGTTCAATGCAGCTGCAAGGTTAGTTTTCCTCTTCAATAATTCCATTTTCACAACTAATGATTTTTACTGTATTATCATTTGGACTAATATTTGTAAGGATCAAATTGATTAACTCTCGTCTTTGTACAAGGATGAAATTCATAATTATACCCACATTAATTACTCTTAAGGAACCTAGATTGCTTATGTTACCGCTGAAAACAGTGTTAGGGTGAGCAATGAGCTGGGAGCCGGCCACCCCAAGTCGGCAGCATTCACAGTTATCATCGTGACTTCGGTTTCCTTGAGTATCGCTTTCGTAGAAGCCGTTGTCGTTTTAGCTCTACGCCATGTAATTAGCTTTGCATTTACGGAAGGTGAGACCGTGGCCAAGGCAGTGTCGGACCTATGCCCATTATTTGCCGTCACTCTTGTTCTTAATGGAGTTCAACCTGTCCTGTCCGGTGAGAACCTTTTTTTGGGTCTATTTAAGGATTTAGTCCCTCCATTTTACTGATTTAAAATTTAATCCTTTAATTTTACAAGATTTTTTGTTACTAGTAGATCTAAATTGATAGCATTTTCAGTTCACGTCTTTAAGTGATTGTGTAGATTTTTTAAAAGAAAAAGTATTTGTATGGCATAAAAGAACATTATTACTGGTTGAATAGATATTCATTAGCCCTGATTGTGTGACCAAATAACAGTTAAGAAAATGTACACCATCACTTCAACAACTAATGGTACTATAAATTAGAACTTACTAACAACAGACTAAAAGTGAGGGAATTAAATTATGACATTATAGTTTAAAGATTAAATTTTAAAATAGTAGAGGAACTAAATCCAGAATTGAGCTGCAAAAGCTAGTAATTGAGATATGATTTGAATTGCATTTCAGTGGGTGGCTTTTGGATGCGGATGGCAAACATTTGTTGCATATGAAAACGTGAGATGCTACTATTGTTGGAAGCATAGATGAGCTCTCGATAATTTATAACTCAAACTTTTATTTATTGATACAAAACAAAATATTTTACAACGACACTACCTCAATTTTACAATACTGCAATACTAGCTGCGTCTAGTTTACAAACTCAACCTCACTATTTTAAGCTTTGCTAAGCTCTCTCAATTCTCTCTATTTTTTCTCTCGTATTATTTTCTTTTGCTCACTACACACTTTTCCTCACTTATATTTCTTTCACTCACACTCTTACATGCTTGCTTTGCTCATATATATATATATATATATATATATATATATATATATATATATATATATATATATATATATATATATACATGAAATAAACAGACATTGAAGATTGTAGAAGCTACTCAAGTTCTCCATTATTGTTACCTTATTGCTTTGTCTTGATTTGCTTTCATTTCAATTAAAAAATCTTTTCCGACATACTAGTGCACTGCCACATATTTCTACACAATTCTAAATTGAGTTTGACTTCTAGCAACTATGTTGTAGGGATCCCTCTTGGGGCAAAGGTAAAAACTATAGTCTACTCAAATCCATAATTTTTAAGTCTTTAAATACCGATGTCAATTAAACTAATACCCAATCGACTCTCTTTTTCTGTTAATTTGTAAAAAAAAAAAAAAATCGTATTGTGGTCCGAGGCCTCAAGCTAAGATATTCGACTCTTCGAGCAGGGAATATGGTCCGGGATGATTGGGGGAACATTAATGCAGACCCTCATTTTACTGTGGGTGACATTTACAACAGATTGGAACAAAGAGGCAAGTAGTCCCTGTCAAACGTTTCATCCACTTCATTTTGTTATTCACGTGTTGATGTGTCTAATTTTTGTGGTTAAATTATGGTTTTGGTCTACCTACTACACTCAAACTTGAAATATAGTCCCCGTATTTAATTTAACATATGTTGGCCCCTGTACTTTTATAGTATCATTAGTTAGTTATCAAGAGAAATTCACTGTCAGCATTCCAACCGAAATACATAACAGTATTAACCATTTGAACAAACTAATGACATTATAGAAGTAAAGAAATGAAATTATGTCAAATTAAAGTACATGGACTAAATCCCAAATTTGACCATAATAGAGGAACCAAAACTATAATTTGACCTAATTTTCATGCCTATTAAAACCCTAAATGAAGAATTGGTGAACCTGCTGAAATTTCAGGTGGAGACAACCAAGAAGCGGTTGGACAAATGGGATGATAAGAAGCCTCTTCTCAAGAAGTAAAGATTATTAAGCTTTACATGCATATGCATCAAAAAGTTGAAGAAATGAATCTGGACTCGATTGACCCACCGCAAATAAGCCAAAATGTCAATGCCATGGCATTTTGCTCATACTACTATCAAATGGTTTGCTTATGGTAGCTTTTGAGCTTATAAGCCTCAAAATACGGTTAGCTTGAACTCACAGTAACAGCTGAGAGTTTACAGTACTCTAGAGTTTGTTTGATTATATTTTTTTTATAGGAAGTTAAGGCCTAGTTAAAAACCCCTTTCATGATTAGCGGAACACCGATTGGTGTTCCTTAATCAGCGGAAGGAGGAAAAGAGTGTCTCATAATTCATTAATAAGTAGAAAAATACATAATGTTTAAAACTAACAAGCCCCTTACAAAAAACCCGAAACACAACACGAACACCTCTTACGCTCAATAAAACAAATCCCAACCCATCAAACAATAACTATCCAATACCAGCCTTAGCTAAACTATCGGCTTCTATGTTTGTCGTTCTGTCAATCCATTTGATAGCTCCTTCCCAAACTCTTATCATGGAAACAAACTCTTTAACAATATGAAGGAAAACACTAGGACAACTATCTAAATTCTTAACCCAATCCACAGCAAGCTTGCTATCAGATTCAACAATCCACCGATTCTTAAACCTCTGAAGGTCATGCTCAAAGAAGAGTACACCCCTCTTGATGGCAACAAGCTCCAGCAAAGTTGGAGGTCCAGGATCTGCAGATTCTTTAAAAGAACCCAAAATCTTACCAGCCTCATCTCTTAGTAAACCACCCACACCACTCTTTCGCCAATCATTGCAAACTGCTACATCTACATTCAGTTTTAGATAACCCTTTGGTGGAGGAATCCAGGACACAATATTAGTAGCCGAATTTCTGGAAGAAGACTAGAAATCTGCAATAGAAGGGTCACTTATCAGGGAATCTTTAGAAATAGTAACCTCATTGAACTTAGCTAAGAACAATAAGCAAGCTTTAGCCTAGCCATGAAAAATAACTCAATGTGATCCAAGGACCTTCCTTCAAACACCACGGCATTCCTAAATTTCCAAATGGTCCAAAGCACCACCCCCAGAATTAAGGACCAAATAGAAGAAAAAACATCATGCCATTCCAAGCAAGCAAAAAGCCTTGTGCATTTCCATGAAGGACCGAACTAATATTCCAAAAATTCAAAAACTTATTCCATAGGGACCATGCCGCCGTGCAAGAGAAAAATAGATGAGGAATAGATTCATTCTCTCTTTTACACAAAGTACAAGAAACATCAACAATCCCCGAAACCCCTCTTTTTTGAAGCTCAAACTTAACCGCCAATTTGTTATGGGCTACTTGCCACATAAAGGTTTCAATTTTAGGAGGCATCAATCCCTTCCAAATACATTTCTCCCAGAAACTATCTTTTACCGATTCAACAAAACAAGTCTTCATACAAGAGTTAACAGTAAAAATGCCTTCCCCATTCCCTCTCCAAAGCAGACTATCTCTTGACTCGTGGGATAGGCTGAAATTATGAATGATGGCAAGAAGATTAGAAAATTGTTCTAACTCCGAATCACATAGATTCCTTCTCAACTGGACAAACCAAGACCAACCCGATGAATTAAACTCACCAAATTCCTTAATTATCCCAAACTGATTTGATGAAATATCATATATTCTCGGGAAAGCAGTCTTCAAAGGATAATCAAGGGCCCAAATATCTACCCAGAACCTGATTCTCTCCCCATTACCCACTTTGACTTGGAACATGCTACGAATCTTGGCACCAAACTCATCCTCTTTAAAATGATTATTAACCACCGATTTCCAAATTCAAGAAGCATTTGTAGGAAATTTTTTAGAGAAAGAAATCAGATTAGTGTCCTGATTATATTTGGAACAAATCAACCTCTTCCAAATTGAATCACTGTCATTAGCAAACTTCCAAAACCATTTCTCTAATAAGGCCCTATTCATAAAATTAAGATTTGGCACACCCAAACCACCACAACTTCTTGATTTACACACTGTAATCCAGTTGACCCAGTGTATTTTCTTAGATTCTGCCCCTCCTCCCTACAAAAAACTGGCCATGATGGATTGCAACTTAGAATTCACTGCTGCTGGAATTTTAAACATAGACATATAATATGTAGGCAAAGAACATAATACTTATTTCAATAAAACCAGTCTCCCTGCCAAAGAAAGAGTTCTTGCCTTCCAACCCGACAACTTCTTGAAGAATTTCAGCACAACCGGATCCCACATAGCTGAAGAGTTCCTTTTTGCTCCAAGCGGCAGCCCTAAATAATCAAAAGGGAAAGAACCAACTGCACACCCAAGATCCCCCGCCCACTCCTTCACCTCTTCATCAGTAATATTAATGCCAAATAACTTACTTTTGCTGAGATTAAGCTGTAGACCAGACATAATTTCAAAGACCCAAAGAACTCTCTTAACGTTTAAAATATCCGTCTTAGAGGCATTACAAAAAATGATAAGATCGTCTGCAAATTGCAGATGTGATAACATGTAAGAACCTTCTTCTTTGCCAATAACTAAACCATTAAACAACCCCGAAGATACCGCCTTGAGAAGCAATTGATTAAGTAGCTCTCCTATAAAATTAAATAATAATGGGGAAAGAGAACAACCCTGTCTGAGACCTCTGGACATTAAAAATTCCTCTGTTAACCAGCACTAAAACTGAAGCAGTGGCCACACACTTTCTAATCCAGCTGCACCATTTTATGCCAAAACCCATTTTGTCCATGACTTTGAAAAGAACATCCCAATCCACTGTATCATAAGCCTTCCGGAAATCTACCTTAAACACACAACCCTTCAAACCTTTCTTTCTCCAAAAATCTATTCCTTCATTAGCTATAAAAGAACAATCCAAGATTTGTCGACCTGGAGTAAAAGCAAATTGTGAATCACTAATGACTTCGTTCATGCAACATCCCAACCTTCTCGATAGACATTTCGAAAGGATCTTGTATAGTCCACATACTAAACTAATAGGTCTGAAATCATCTAATCCCCCAATGTTGGTACCCTTAGGGATGAGGGTTATGAAGGTGTGATTGATACCATGCTCCCAATTTTTACCCAAGTAAAAATTATGAAAAAAATTCAGAATATCAACTTTCAATGTGGACCAAAACCTTTTGAAAAACCCCATGTTAAACTCATCCGGCCCTGGCGCTTTGTTGCTATCACAAGAATTCAAGGCCTCCCAAACTTCTTCTTCCGTAAACCCCTTCTCTAGGCTTGTACTCTGCTCTAAAGTTAATCTCGAAAAATTCAGCTTGATATCTTCCACTTCCAGGGTAGACTTGAAATTAAAAGTTTCAACAAAATGCTCACGGACACTTGCCTTGATGAGAGATGGGTCATAAATGATTAAATCTTTCACATTAAGAGCCGTTAAAGAATTCAACCTCCTCCTAATTGAAGCACACGTATGGAAAAATTTTGAATTACGATCACCTTCTTTTATCCATTTCACCCTTGAATTTTGAATCCAAATTTGCTCCTCAATCCTGTATAACTTCCACAATTCTGATCTCAAGGACTGCAATTCCTCAACACTGTCTATACCCCTCAGTACCTGCTGTGACTAAGAATTCTGCTCTAATTGGTGAATCTTATCTTCTAAAGAAGAAATGGTAGAAGCTGGATACTGATCTCTCATTCCAGACCAACTTTTAATAGCTGATTTTGAGCTTCTAATGATACTCAGAATACCTACTTTTCTATTAACTTTCTTGCAATCTTTAATAGCTGTAACAACCTGCTCATCAAACCCGTCCTCATTCATCAAGTAGTTAAACAACCTGAAAGGTTTCTTACCCCAATTATCACCCCATGTCTGAAGCAATATTGCATTATGGTCAGAAATAGATCTCGGAAGAAGGAGTTGGGTGATATCCGAAAATGCAGATGAAAAATTAACACTCAGCAGAAACCTATCCAATCTGACAATAGTAGGAACTTCCCAATTGTTACCCCAAGTAAATCTTCCCCCCGTTAATGGAAAATCAATTAAACCCGAATGATGAACAAATTGCCTAAAAATCTCCATCGAATTTCTGTTTTGTGCTCTACCATCCTTCTCATCTTCTGTTAAATAAGCATTAAAATCCCCTCCTACACAAAAATGAATACTGATGCCATTCAAAAACAAGCTGAGCTCTTCAAAAAAATCTGCTTTTTCTTCCTCCACCGAAGGTCCGTATACGTTAATAAACCCGCACTGAAATTGATTCAATTTGAACTTCCCTAAAATAGCAATAAATCTCTTATGAATCTGCCTATCTTCTACCTCAAAAAATTGTCATCCCAACAAGTAAGTAATCCCCCTGAAGAACCTACTGCTGGTGATTCAACATACCCTTGAATATTGTTCAGTCCACTTCTTCTCAAAAAAGACCTTGGACATGCCTCCAATTTTGTTTCTTGCAAAAAGAGAAATGATGGTTTCTTCTCGGAAACCATCTTTTGAACAGCTCGCTGCTTTTCTTTTTTCCCCAAACCCCTGACATTCTAAGACATTATTACTATCTTTGTTTTCATGATGATATGCAAATACCAGTCTCCTCCCTAACTTGACAACCTACTCAACTGGCCCCACTCAAACCTTCCTCTAATTTCATGATTTTATTCAAGAAAGCTTCCTTCCCTTCCTTAAAAGAAATACCCAACATCTTGCTGATCTCCCAAGTTGTAAGAGCTTCATTTAAAATCGAAGAAAAAGCATTGGATGAAATAGTGGAGACACTTAACTTTTCTAAAGCGTCCTTAATCAAAAACCTTTGAATTCTCCTTTTAGATCTTCCAATCCCCACATCTTCACAATTCTCTTCTGAGTTTTGCTCAACGTCTGGAATTTCAGATTGTGCATATCTTAAAATAACAGCATTTTCATTCTGTTTAATTGAACCACCCTCTGTTTGAGATAAGAAATCATGCTCACTACTTCGCCAAATGTTCCT